AGGCAGGAGCATGGGAAGGGAGGGAGCAGAGAAGCAGGGGGAAGGCAGAGGAGAGACGTGCAGGCAGCTGAGGGCAAGGGTCTAAGTGTGGTGGGGCGGGAGGGTTTGTTCTGGCAAAGGCACAGGGTGAGGAGGGGTGTCTGGCAGCGAACAGGTGTCTCTCCCTCGCTGTGCTCTAGGGCTCAGCTGTGAGCAGAGACAGAGGTGTGCTGGTAGCCTTGGCTGGAAGAAAGTGGAAACTGGCATGATGCCTACACCTCCAGTCTCCTGGGCATAGGAGGTTTCCTGTGTTATCAGGAGATGAATTCCTGTTTGTGGTTCGCATCACTGCCCATGGCACAGGGTGCCTCAGTGCACATGTGCTCTTCGTGGGCTCATCCCAGCCCAGTGGCCTCTCCACAATTGCCCCCAGTAGCTCATGGCTCATCTGTGTCAGGAAGCTGAGGGCTGGCAATGAGGAAAGGGGAACGAATGCAGAAATGAAAGTGCAGGAGGCGGCTGTGCTTTAGTGGAGAAGGAAGAGGGAGGGGAGGAGAGCGATCCTTCAAAGCAGGCTTGTCCCAGCTGCTAGGTGAAAGCCTGAGCTCTTGATTGAGTGGGGATGGTCACTCCGATTGCCTCCATGGCATAGATGCCAAAATTTTCTTGGCATCAGGTGAGCCCTGAGTGGCTGCGCTGCCTCACTGAGCTGCAAGGCCCCCCAAGGCAGGAAGAGCAAGGTGCCGGTGGCAGCAGAGGGCTGCCTGGGGTTTTCACCTCCTCCCGGTGGCTGCCCCGCTTGTCCCCATGTGACAGCGCGGTATGGCCCGAGTTGTGGAGAGTGGGCTGGGGGGATTCCTGGGGACGCGTGGGCTGGCTGCGGTGGGACCCGACCCCAGTCACCTCTCTCTCCCGTGGGAGCCCAGCGTGGCTCTGAAAAGTGAAAGCAGCTGAGTTCTAAAGTTCAGGCCAAATTGCCTTGGAAAGTCCCCTGTCAGAGCAGTCTTATCTCTGCCATACCTGAAGAAGGCAGATCCCATGGCCTCCTCCCGCACGTGTGGTGCCTGGGAGTGGGTTTGGAGAAGCAGGGGCTGTCCCTGCAAGTGAGCAAAGGACACCTCGGGGCAGGTGCCACAGTGGGGACCAGGGGCCTGATGCAAACCCAGTAGGGAATCTCCCTGCATGCATCATACATGGGCTGGGGCCACTGAGAGTCTGCTGAAAGGAGGAGTTATTCTTGCAGCTGGTCCCCCAGCTCTGCCGCTTGCTTCTGTCCCGTGCTAGCCTGGTCTGGGCCCTGTGGCTGTGCCTCTGCCCCAGGGTCTGCTGAGGGTGGTCAGACCCTGCCTGTGGGGCTGCTTGCCCTGGTTCACAGCCCCTTCCCCTGCTTTGGGGAGTGCTGGCAGCGGGGAGGCACCCCATGGCAGTGCAGAGGCAAATGTGGGTGGCCTCTCCTTCCAGTGGGGAATTCCCTGACACTGTGTGACCTGGGGCTTCCCCAGGGATGCAGCCTCTCCTGTCGAGCACAGCCTGTCCCTTGACGGCAAGGTAAAGAGGAGCCAGTCTTGTTTTGCCACTGAAAATGGGGCTTAGCTGAGGGTACTTGAGGTCCCCAGTGCTGGCTCCACCCTTGGGCAGAGCATGGGAGGAGGTGGATAAATGGTATTTTGGGGAACTGGCCTCTGGGCTTGTCAGCACGTTCATGTCCCCCTTGCAGCTGGCAAGAAGGCAGCCCCAGCCCCACTTCTTTGCTGCAAGGCTTGAGGGCCAAGTCTTTCCTTGTTGCCTGCAGAGGGATGCTGTCCATCCCCCACATTGCAGGTGGCATCCCAAAGCTGGTCTGTCGGGTGAGCGGGTTGTCTTGCCAAGGCTGACACAGCTCTCACCCTCTGTCCCACAGCCCTGCCTGCCCCTGCCCAGCAGCGTGGGCAGCAGGAGCCTGCTTAGAGCCAGGCCTTTGCTTCGGAGCTGATCCCTACCAGAGATAAAAGCCACGCAGGAGCCCCAGTGCAGGGGCAAGGAGGTGGCAAGAGGCTCAGCTCACGCCTGCCATGGTCTACAGAGCAGGAGTTGCTACCTGCTCCTGGCTGCTGCCTGCCATGGCTGGTGCTGGGCAGGGGGGCTGCCCTGCTGTGCAGAGCCAGCCCCTCCTGTGCAGGGGCACCACCAAGCAGCACAGCAGGTCAGCGTAAGGGACTGGAAATTCCCTCTTGGCTCTGCCTCCGTCACGCTCTCACTTCTGTTCTGAGTGTGCCGGGGCTAGTGTCAGACACAGATGGAAATAAAACCTGTCCTTGGGCTGGGGGACTCCGGGCTGCCCAGCCACCTCGTGGCTGTGGAGACCATGGCCCTGAGGACAGGGGCTCCCTGCTGGCCACCGAGCTCCGACAGTTGCACTTCCAGTGTCCGTCTGTGCCAGTGGGCTGTGTGCCAGCAAGGAAGGATGTGGGGGAGAGAAGAGGAAATTGCTGTGGGCCAGCAAATCGGCTGGCACAGGGACTGTGCCATGCAGGTGATCTTGGACCAGTGCCGGGCTCCTGCCCAGCTTTGGCTGCCTGCCTTCACAGAGGGGAAAGCAGAAGTGCTGCGCGCAGCCAGCAGCGGGGAACTGGAATTCCCCAGGCAGCTGCTAGAGACCAGACCTCTCTCCACAACTGCCAAAACTGGCCCTTGTGCTCTGTGAAACACATCCCAGATTCTTCAGACGCGTCCACGTTGGTGGCTTTGGGCAGTGCTGAGTCCAAGCTCCACACGTTCTGTGATGACCAAGAGAGGACCCTGTGGTGCTTAATGGGGACAGGAGGGTCAGTTCCCTGTGGGACTCAGAGTGAAGGATTGCCCTGAGGAGCTTCAGGGTTCCTGCTTTGCCCTGCTGCTTTGGAGGGAGGGCAGGGTGGAGGAGCTCTGAGCTGGTGGCAAGGGGAGGGGACTGGGGAAGGCAGGGTTATTCTGCCATGCAGCAGTGGAGGATCTCTGCTCCTCAGCATGGTACTCAGGACTCACTTTTTTTTTAACTCCCCATTCCTCTTATCCCCTCTGTAGGTTGGTTCACCTAGCCATTATCCACTGTGTCCCAGCTGTGGCACTCTGTTGTATCGCTCAGCTGCCCAGGGAAGTGCTGGAGATCCAGAATGATCTTTTCCAGGTATGTAGATGTGATCAGCAGAAGAGGGGAGGAGGGCAGGTGCCGCAGGCTGCTCGCTGGATAGATGACCAATCCTGCCCTTTCCCCAGGATCCCCCACACACTTCCTCCAGAGGGGGTGAAGATCTCATGTGAGCAGCCCCTTTTCAGGGATGGGAAAAAGAGTATGGGAGGTACTGAGAGAGAGGTGTGACAGCAACCAGCATCAAAGGGTGAAGGGGTCCTTTACAAGGTGCCAGGACGTTGCAGACAGCCCGGTTGGTGGAGCAGGCACAGCTTGAATGTGACAGGGTAGATAACCTGGGAGAGGTGTGTCCTGTGGGGCATCTCTCCCCTTTCCTAATTTCTGTCCCCACCTTCTCTCTAGACCCCACTCCACCTGGCCGTGTACCTGGAGCAGCCCAGTGTCATCCAGGCACTGATGCACAAGGGAGTGAACCCCGGTCTGCAGGACCGCAACGGCAACACGCCGCTGCACCTGGCCTGCGAGCAGCAGTGCCTGCGGTGTGCCCAGCAGCTGCTGCCGGACACAGGCCAGCCCCACAGGCAGCGCCCAGAGGGGAAAGCAGAAGTGCTGCGCGCAGCCAGCAGCGGGGAACTGGAATTCCCCAGGCAGCTGCTAGAGACCAGACCTCTCTCCACAACTGCCAAAACTGGCCCTTGTGCTCTGTGAAACACATCCCAGATTCTTCAGACGCGTCCACGTTGGTGGCTTTGGGCAGTGCTGAGTCCAAGCTCCACACGTTCTGTGATGACCAAGAGAGGACCCTGTGGTGCTTAATGGGGACAGGAGGGTCAGTTCCCTGTGGGACTCAGAGTGAAGGATTGCCCTGAGGAGCTTCAGGGTTCCTGCTTTGCCCTGCTGCTTTGGAGGGAGGGCAGGGTGGAGGAGCTCTGAGCTGGTGGCAAGGGGAGGGGACTGGGGAAGGCAGGGTTATTCTGCCATGCAGCAGTGGAGGATCTCTGCTCCTCAGCATGGTACTCAGGACTCACTTTTTTTTTAACTCCCCATTCCTCTTATCCCCTCTGTAGGTTGGTTCACCTAGCCATTATCCACTGTGTCCCAGCTGTGGCACTCTGTTGTATCGCTCAGCTGCCCAGGGAAGTGCTGGAGATCCAGAATGATCTTTTCCAGGTATGTAGATGTGATCAGCAGAAGAGGGGAGGAGGGCAGGTGCCGCAGGCTGCTCGCTGGATAGATGACCAATCCTGCCCTTTCCCCAGGATCCCCCACACACTTCCTCCAGAGGGGGTGAAGATCTCATGTGAGCAGCCCCTTTTCAGGGATGGGAAAAAGAGTATGGGAGGTACTGAGAGAGAGGTGTGACAGCAACCAGCATCAAAGGGTGAAGGGGTCCTTTACAAGGTGCCAGGACGTTGCAGACAGCCCGGTTGGTGGAGCAGGCACAGCTTGAATGTGACAGGGTAGATAACCTGGGAGAGGTGTGTCCTGTGGGGCATCTCTCCCCTTTCCTAATTTCTGTCCCCACCTTCTCTCTAGACCCCACTCCACCTGGCCGTGTACCTGGAGCAGCCCAGTGTCATCCAGGCACTGATGCACAAGGGAGTGAACCCCGGTCTGCAGGACCGCAACGGCAACACGCCGCTGCACCTGGCCTGCGAGCAGCAGTGCCTGCGGTGTGCCCAGCAGCTGCTGCAGGACACAGGCCAGCCCCACCGGCACCACCAGGACCTGCAGCTCCAGAACTGGCAAGGTGAGACCTGAGGGCAGCCCCGTGGGGAGCTGGTGGCTGGGTATGCTGGTCACGTATGCAGGGAGCCGGGAGCGTAGCAGGGCAGGCACAGGGCCGTGGTTGGGTGGTCTGGGCTGACTGTGGCTCTCTCTCCTACCTCCCCACCCCAGGCTTGGCATGTCTGCACATCAGCACCTTGAAGGGGAACATCCCAATGATGTCTCTGCTGCTGCAGAGGGGTGCTAACATCGATGTTCGGGTAAGGCTGGGGATATGGTGAGGTATTCAGGTGAGACTGGGCGTGGTGTGCAGCTCTCTGGGCCACTCCCTCCAACCCTGGAGCAGGCGCTGCCAGGCAGTGACAGGACTGTCGTGGGGCTTGGAGGCAGTGAATTTTGAGGGAGAAGAGATGAAAGGCCCTTGCGGGGCTGTTGGGTGCTATGACTGCAGTCAGGGTGGGGACTACCCCCTTTGCACCCTGTCAAGGGAGCGTGGACAGGTGCTGCGGGGTCCACCTGAGGGGACACAACATCCACGTGCTTGTGGTCTGTGGCTTGCAGGAGGGCACAAGCGGGAAGACCCCACTGCACCTGGCTGTGGAGTGCCACAACCGCAGGGCTGTCCAGTTTCTGCTGCGCCACGGGGCCTACGTGGATGCCCAGATGTACAACGGGTGCACCCCGCTCCACCTGGCCGTGGGCCGCAGGGACGCTGCCATCGCTGCCATCCTCTCGCACTCCGGGGCTGACACCCTGCTGAGGAACATGGAGAATGAGACAGCCCAGGACCTGGCTGATGGCAACGATGATGTGAGTCTGCAAAGGGGGGGAGGAGCTGTGAGTCTGTGAGGGGCAGGGGGTCGTGGTTCCGCCAGTGTGTCAGGGTGCAGGAGTCGGACGATTTGAGGGGAGCTCCTAGGAGGAGTTTCTAGCCATGTTCATGCTCCCCCATAAGGTGCAGGCATTGGCTCTGGGGATGTGTGGGTGCCTGTTGCCTTGAGACCTAGGGAAAGCCCAGCCAGAGTTTCTTGGCACTTTCCCAGAGAAGGTGGGAGGCTGCAGGGTTGGGGGAGGGGAGCAAGGTCTGGGCCTCTACCCCAGACCCATGGAAAGATGATCCTGGATCCTTACATATCCACATCCTTGTACTTTGCAGCTCCTCGCCTTGCTGCCCTTTGATGACCTGAAGATCTCAGGGAAGCCTGTTGTGTGCTCTGAATGAGCCTCTGGACTCCTTTGGCCCCTTGGGCTGCCTCCTCGCTCCATGCTGCTGCCCTGCTGCCCCCTGAGACCTTGTCTGCCTGCAGTTCCATGAGAGCAGAGCCACTTTGGGAGACTTATCCCCCCCTGCCTCCTCTTTGGAAGAGTTTTGTTGCCCTCAGGCTGCCTTTGCAGAGGGAAGAAGGTGGCACTATGAGCACTACACAGGGGAGGCTTTTCTTGTAGTATTTGTGCCCAGCAGCAGAACTGAATTTCCCCACCCTGACACGGTGGGAGTCTCCAGCTTACACAGAGAAGGAGCAGGAGAGGACTCCTTTTCACACTGTGTAGTAGACGGAGCATCCTCGGCACCCCCAAAACACCATCAGTGTAAGTGTGGGGTGAGGAGAATTAACACTCTAATAAACATTTGTTCTGGCTGTGGGCAGCTGAGGTCTCATGTGATGTAACCCACCCTGCTCCCCCGCAGCATCAGGAGGCTGAGCACTACCCCAGGCATGTGAGGGCTGCAGGGGCTTCCCCAGCCCACCTGCTCCCTGGGGTCCCTCACACAGCAGAAGGTGAGTAGGAGCACAGGGACTTCCCCACCTGCAGAGCCTTTCTGGTGCTCAAGGCTGAAGCCGAGAGATCCCAACATGGTGCACCATTCCCATGCCATCCTGAGAACATCAGGGCTGAAGAAAGAACACAGGAGGTGCCAGAAGACCAGGCTGTGGATCCCTGGTCCTGCTGTCATGCCTGGTATCTTGCTGCCCTTACTGTGCTGCAGTTTCCTCTTTCGCAGAGAGGACAGAAAGGTCCTGCCCCACCTCCTGGCTTCAGAGGGTGTTAAAAATCGTAGGGCACGGGTCTTCCCTGGGTTTTAGATTACCCCAGGCTAAAGCAGAGGAGATGGCTGGGTTATCTCGACATGCCTTCTGTTTCTCAGCTCACCAACCTTCACTTCCCTCCTCGCAAGCCAGGAAAACACGTGCAACACATGAGGGAACCAGCAGCCAGAGGTGCTGTGGGCACGGAGATAACCGGGTGTGCCTGACCCCACCGCAGCGAGGGAAATTCCCCACTTGCTGCCTGTTCGGGTCCCGCCTGCTGTTGTTTGGGTCAAATCCCAGATGTTGCAATCAACTACGGTGCTCTGGAGCGAGCCGCTGTCCTCCTCCCCCCTTCTGGGAAAGAAAGATGGCAAGGGAATGCCGCCAGGAAGGCAGCACGTCCCACCCGGGGGGACACAGAGCGGGGAACCGGCGCTGCCCGGGCAGAGCCCGTGGTGGGGCCGGGGCTGCTGCTGGGCGGGACGGGGGGGACAGGAAGACGCAAGTCATCGGCAGCGGTTTTTTAATGGTATTTAAAATAACAGCTATTGATTTACTTACTTGTTGTTAAGATGCCTCGTTGCTGGGTGGCCACCTGGCGGCTGCAGCCCGGCCGGGGGAGCGGGGGGTCGCGGGTCCTGCCCCGCAGCCCCGGCAGTGCCCGCTGCGGTGGGTGCCCCGGGACGGGGCCGGGGGGAGGGTCGGGCTG